AGTCGCTAAGTGGTCTGGTTGCCGAAATATGGGCCAAAAACTGCATTTTTTCGAGGTTTTTTTGGCTTTTCCGGGAAATCCATGAAAGAAACCCGGAATTTTTTTGGCCTATGTTCATCCTCGTAACTTGCTTAACATAATTGCTTTGGAACTAGTCCTTGATATTGCTTCGTTGAGGAGGAGATACGACTTAAAGCTGCGGACACACATTCATCCATCCAGAAATGACGGGTTAATAAACGCAATTCTCCAGAATGGAAATTGCGCTAATCACTAGGTTCATACATGTATAAAACAGCTGGCAATGTTCACAACATTGTGCAATTTCATGTACATACTATCGTCATCATTTTCTGTTCGTACACAAAATACGGGGCGATGAAGTAGTTTATATATTTCATTGTCCTCGGCTTACAGGTTTGTAGTAGTTTGGCCTAGTCACCTTTATTTCATTAGCGTAAGTCAGGTACCACTAAAGAGCTGGGTGGACACATTGACGTACGAATGACACAAACTGGTATCCCAAGTCAAGATTTTCTTTTAGCAGTTGTTTAAAACCGCCCATTCGCGTTCATTCTTGAAATCATTGTGGTTTTATTCTTGCTTTTTGGGTTATATCAGCAAATTTCCACGTGCAAGTGTAATATTTTTTTACTAACCAAAATTCTGCTTTAGTTATGCCGAGTTAGAGTCTATGTTGCTGTATTATATGCATCATTTTGTGTGTTTTAATCTCGTGATTATTCTTATTTACATAAAGTTGCTTTTCAGACGTAAATGATTATTTTCCTATTTCCGTTACTGAAACATATATTTGTTATTGTCAGTTTTGTCATTCAATGCTTGGTAATTTTTAACTGTGGTGTAAAAGTAAAACAAAAGAAAAGAATAGTTGTCTGTTAAATTTTCACTTTTGTCATTCTTTCTCAAACAGTATCGATATTTATTTGCCGTAAATTAGACTATGGTATATACCTTTATGCTAGAAATTTACAATTCCAAGCAACTAAATGGATATATCAAAGTAGTATTTAAAAATTAGCCTACTCTCAGTTTGTTGTGTAATGCAATTAAATGTGTACAAGAAAGTCAAATGGTTTACATGACCAAATACAATTTTATTTTATCGAATGTATTGAATTGGTTTTGTCAAGAATGTTTGTGTGTCATTCGAATGGACACGACACTGGGCATGATCCTTTTTTTAAATCAACAATCTATCAAGAGACAATTATGGGCCCAAAGAATTCTCGTTCTAGGGATCGTAATAAGAGAAGTGGCTTCTCGTAGTCCGACTCCTCAACATATTCAAAGAGTTGTAACTCTAAATTAGCAGTGCGTCTGAACTATGAGAGAACTAAAGCTGGTAAGTGTTAAATGATGGTGGTAGTTATTGGCATGAAATAATGAGTAGCTTTTTTTTTAAAAAAAGTAGTTTCAGTGATTCTAAGTCATGATCGACAAACATATTAAACTCATGAAAACGGGATGCTGCTATCAGATAAATTGTGACGAGTGATCTAGCGGTAGTTTGATTGCTTGCTAAACCAGTAGTCCAGATTTGTGATCTCAGGCTACACAAGAAAGGTAATCTATTGACCTAACTGCCCAGTCAGATATTTGGTGCTCGATTCTTAACCTTGATCCAGTCTGCTTGTCCAATGATCCAAAGCCTGAGCCGACAATAACTAGAAAGCTAGAGCATGGGTTCCCAAACTTGGGGGTCGCGACATGTAAAAAGACATGAATAAAGATTACGAGGTTCTACGGTACGCTGGCTGTCAAACGGAAATGTTGTGAATCGTGTTTTCGATTTGAAAGATGAAATCAAGTTGTTTTTTCGGAAGTGTAAATCAGAGGCGTAGCGACCCTTCCCGGCGCCCGGGGACAAACTTTTCGATTTGCACCCCCCCCCTCAAACTTTCGATTTGCACCCCCCTCAACCTTTCAATTTATTTTTCCAACCCATTTTGGCGCCCCCTTTGGTCGGCGCCCGGGGACATATGTCCCCCCCCCGCCCGCCCCGCCCCCCCCCCTCGCTACGCTACTGGTGTAAATGAAACACGATCTTTTGATATACTTTAGCGACAAAAAGTGTTTGGAGAGAGAATTTTTCTAGCTGATGTATTCGAACATCAACATATGAACGAATATTATCTCTTTTCATGATAATCTCGGGGCATTGTTATCAAAGCTGCAAATTTGGTGAAGAAAAATAAGTTTTGGAAATATTCCCATGTTGGAGAAACTCTGCAGTGTGGTGGATGACTCTGATTGTGCGATAAATAAAATTTGAAACAGGAGATTTCTAGGAATCTCGAATCTCTTGAAAACGACCTGCGGCGTTTATTCCCGTGAGCTTAAAGAAGAATAATCTGCATGGACACGGTACCCTTTCTCAGCTTCCCTTGATGTTGCCAGCATTCACTATGAATTACAAGATAAATTCTTGGATTTGCGGAATGATTCCTAAAATGTACCATATTTAATTAAAACCAGCTCACACAATTTTGTCGTAGTGTGCCACATTTATATCCAAACATGAAATAGATTGCCTTTCGAGTTCTAGTTCGTTTTGTGATTACATACCATTACGAGAATAGATTTTCACAATTCTCCAATTGAAAAATACAAGAAATTAAATAAAATGTCGAGAATGACATGAGGTTGGCGTTAAGAAAACTCAACCGCGAATGTTGAGGTTATAGTTAATAACATATAATATAACTCATCGTATAACAACAGATTTCAAGAATAATTCATATTGAAAGTCTACTAGAAAAGCTTATTTTAGTGCTTATTAATTTCCTTACTTATTTCGACTTATTCTATGGGAGTCTCAGGTCACTTACATTTTATAAAAGGGGGTCACCACTAAAAAAAGTTTTGTAACCACTGAGATAGAGAGACGTCTAAAAAACAGAAACAAAAAATAAATGAACAAACATCATTTCGTTTTCTGGATTACTTAAACATTTTTCAGTAACTCAAATGAAGTAGTATCGTTCTTTGATTAGATTTATTAGCTACTTGTTTAAAATAGTTTTAAAAAATAGCTTATTTCTGCCTAAAATTGTTGGTAATTTTTATATTCGACAAAATATCACAAACTTCTTCAATTTAAAACAAATTTTAAATTAATTTCCCATGGCCAGAGGCGTAGCGACCCTTCCCGGCGCCCGGGGACAAAATTTCGATTTGCACCCCCCCCCACCTCGAACTTACGATTTGCACCCCCCCCTCCTCCTTTCGAACTTTTCATTTGCACTCCCCCCTCAAACTTTCGATTTGCACCGAACTTTTCATTTGCACCCCCCCCCCCTCAAATTTTTTATTTGGCACCCCCCCTAGGGTCGGCGCCTGTGAACATATGTCCCCCCACGCCCCCCCTCGCTACGCCTCTGCACATGGCAATAACTCCAGTCACAATACTACAGAAAAGTATTTTTGGACTGAGCGCAGTATCTTAAGACAAAAATAATTTCTAGACAACATTTCAGTTCATAATATTTTATGATAACATTTATCAAGACTGAGTAATGCATCAAACAAAATAGCGTTGGACAAAATATCGTAGGACGGAATACCTAAGGGCTGAATAGTCACCAGTGTTTCATTTAGACTTTTTTCTCCAGCGGTGGGTGGGGGGACCACTTAATATTTTCGGGGTGGGGGACGGGTGGATTTTTTTTTTGTTTTGGTAGAAGTATATATTTACTATATATATTCCATTCGATTCGGGGGCGGTAGACTTTCTTCGGGAGGTAGATCCCCCTTCCCCCCCCCCCCCCCCCACACACCCCAAGAGATGCCTGGAAGAAACTCTGATTGTCACGACAAAGTATTATTTTAGAAAAAGTAGCTCTGATATACGAACTGCATGAACACACATCTTTGTGCAAAAGATCAAAGGGAATGAAATAATTGTTGAAACTTTTATTCTTTCAGCTAATTTTGTTAGTCTTTAATGTACAATTTAGAGAAAGGGTAACAATTTTATTATATTTCATAGCTTTACTTAAAAGCTTATGACGTTGTATTTTTTTTTCTTAATGCAGATTCTTCTATGAGCTTAATTTTGAATATGAATATTTTACGAATGTCCATATCGTCGTTTTCTAATATGCTTGATATCGACTAAGTGTGTCGAAGAGTTTTCATTAAATCAAACTGTAAAGTCAATAGTTTGAAGTGTTTGTAAAACATTGAAGAAATGCGACTTAATTCTGTTATTTGTTTGAAAATTACAAGTTAAAAATACAAAGCTTAAGATTTTATTTTTGGTACAATCTAATTAGTTTAAGGGTTTTACTAAGGGGTATCCAAGAAATTTTTTTAATAGTTTTAGGACTGTTGAGTAGGGTCTTAGAAATCGTTGCCAGACATACAAATTTAGGCCTATATACTAATAGGTTAGATGCAATTATGATACAATAAATAGGGTTTCTGTTTAGCATGGGCTTATTATTATCCATATATATCATTCTCTTCTGGGAGACGCTAAAAAACAAGCTGTAAGCGCGCTCCCTACTACCCCACCTCTACAAGGTTTGGTGAGCTTTGGTTCACGCTAAATGTTTACATTCGTACATCCGGGTTTAGTGGCGGTTATTACTAGGGACAGATAATTTAGTTTGAAACGATTTTAAACTTAGGGGAGGTAACTAAGAGGAGGCTGTTTTCACGGGGGTGGGGTAGGGGTTGGAGAAAGAAGGGGGAGGGGGTATCGTCCTTAACGAGCTACTGATAGTGTTTTAAAGCAAATATATTAAGTGACAGCATTGGTACTGTCGAATTCACAAATTATGAATTACTGAAAAGTAGAAAATAAAACAACTAAATAGCGGCGTATGATACGCCGCAGGTCGGCTCGTATATTTTAAAATGTCTGTTGTTATCGAATTATTTCTAAAACCACTATTTGCGTTTACCATTGAAAACCTTATATCTTGTTTTAATTCTCCGTGTCCATATAATTTTAAAGAATTTTATTTATAAAATTACGTTGTCTCTTTGTTCTTGTTACGGAAGCACAAAAGTTCCTTGAACTTGTTCCTGTAGCTAGAACTCATTTTAAAATAGAGAATAAAATTCATGTTGGAGTTGATGGCGTGAAGCAAGAAGGCGAACGACCAAGACGTTTTGAAGTATTTGTCGTATTTCCCAGAGACGCTAAATCCTGGGATACTGACGGTAAAGATGGACAAGATGACCGTTGGCGTGTAGCAGATCATCAACACCGTGGCCACAGAGATGACCAGAGCTACGATCTTTTTGTCCCTGGCGGTAATGGACTCGTTTTGGGCCTGGTCACTTGTTGAACTCTGACGCCATTTTGACGTCTGCTTTAATTTATAGACCAGGACACAGGTGAAGGTCGTGACCGAAATAAAAACGCCGATAGCAAAAGCCGTGAGAAAATAGAAAACCAGACTCTGAGTGGCGGCGCGATTACCTCTAAACGCGAGTCCCAGGATGGTTTTGTTCCTGTCTGGGTAGTACTTCCAGTCGTAGTAGACCGTGGAATATTCTGGAACCAGAGACAGCATGTTGACCAGGAAGATGGACAGCAACACGATGACTGTCCGGCGTGGCGTGACGATCTGTTTGACCTTGAGCGGTGCCGCAATGGACAAACACCTTTCTGCTGTAATGTAGACCGTGATCCAGCTAGTGATACGTGCAGATATCCCATGCGGCCATGCGGCGGTCAGGTATTCAAATTCACTGAGTACCACATCCGGTAAAAGAGAGTTGATGTAGACGTCTAGGCAAATGTTCCTCCACAGCAGAGCTAGCAAGCTGAAGACATCTGAGATGGATATTGCTAGAAAACTTAAAGTAATGGAGCTGTTTAACCCCTGTTTTAAGAAGACGCAAATGTTGAGAGTGTTGGCTACAATGCCTGTAGCTCCAAACACACTGCATAGAATCACATTGTTTATGATGGTAAAAACTTGAATAATCAGCTCTGTTGTTTTATCGCTAGTGGCCACAGGGGAAACAAGCTTTGGTAAACTCCAGGTTTGGTTATCAAAGACGAACTGCTCGGAGATATTAGACGACGCCATTTTCAGATTATCCAATGGAGATATCCAGAATATTATACGTTAATTTTATTACCACATCCTATACAAAGTTTCTTCATCCACAACAGAGAAACTTAAAAAAAAATACGTTTTCCAATTAGTATAGGAGAAAATACATCACCATGATATAATTTATCAAAGTATAAGTATCTTATGTATTACAAGTTTTTAAAACACTTGAATTTTATCAAGGCTCCCATTAACCTTGCTTCAATTTTGTATGTCATCTCATAACCAAAATTACGACTAAATCTGAGTTAAGGATTGTTCGAACTGTATAGATGAAATAGTCACAATCACAATATTGGTTGGAAGAAGCATAACATTACAAAATTCAGTCTCAATGCATCTTGAATTGTGAATGTATTTAGCAGCGATGATGTCATTTGTGTAAATGTAAATGTATTTTCTCGTAAAACATTTTATGTTGCTATGAATGGCTAGAGTTAAAACTAATTTTTATAATTTTCAAAATGTCATCGAAAAGCCGAAGACACAAACGCGTTTGTTTTGATTATACGTGTAAGCAAGTTTAGAAATGTATGGAAACCATGATTTATGAAAACTAAAAACGTTTATTAATTTACTTAGATAATTTATAATTTATTTATTCTAAAGGCAACTGCATCTCTCTAACCATGTATGTATGGGACATTTACATCATCGATTCATGCTCGTCTCCCCAGGCATTAAGCAATTATGGGAAATCGACGAACGATTCTGATGACGATTCCCATAGTTCAGTAAATTAAAGCTTAAAGCTAATGTTTATTAAACATTGAGACGTCTGCACCGCCTTGGCAAATTACAGCCATCATTCAATTAAGTTATTTTTAACTAGTAAATAATATTCCAAGAGTTAAATAAATTTTTAATACTAGGGTTAAGTTAAACCCTGCTATCTTTCAAATAATTATTTTCACGAAAACAATTTATTCTTTGTAGATCGAAAACATTAATTACAGTAATTAAATTAAATTAAGGTTGGCAATTTTCTGCTGAGGGAAGTTTCCAATATTTCTTTAAATCGCATGGACGTTTTATTTTATCGAATGCTAACGATGACCCGAGGCTAATACGAACGTCAAGCCTGTTAGTTGAAGCTAATCTCGATCTAAAGCTCCGATAATTGGCCACAATCGGAGCGAACGCTCAAGAGGTTTGAACCTTGTGACTTTAGAATCAAACGAATCAAATTGAAATAATGCTGCTTACGTTTATTTTTGAAAGGGCTTTCTACTCCCAGAGGTTATGGGAGGTCACCGTACTGGTCGATGCCGGGGACTGGGAGTTTATTTTGTCGTCTGCTGGCTCGTGTAAGCAGAGTGTCGTGAGTCTCACGTGCACGATATTTGAGCTCTTGTTCTACTTTAGACAGTAACGTGTGAGTATATCAAGATCATCACTTGAGGTGATATATTCAGATGGAACTAAAGTGATACATATTTTATGCTTTTTTTCCGCCAGCTAACAATGTTATGTAAATATCAACCCCATGGACATTTCACTCAAAATGTGATATGATAGTTTTTCTTCTAATATAGATTTAGTTTATATACGAAATTGTTAACAGGGATGTTTAGACAATTGTAAATATCAAATTCAAAATACACACTAAATTTTGTTTGTTAGTTTATTATAAGTAAATATGCAGTGTGTATAATCGATATATAGTTTCAAACGCCGTGTAGAGGTAAAATGTAATGTCAATTTTTTAACTGCTAACTAGAACATTTCGATTAAAGTACATTCAAAACTGTAAACAGCTTTCATTATTTTTGTCTAACGGGGTAACGCTTAATAGCTTAATACGCTGCTCTTTAAATATTTATCATCAAAACATTGCAAAGATTATAATATAATCTAGTAAATAATAAAGCAATGCATTGTTTGTTACTATATTTGTTTAATTTTATGTTTATTTTTCTGTTTTTTAATCAGCATTCCTGAAATTAAAATTGCACTAAAAAAATCTTGGAAGGCAAAAATATAAATATGAAAACAAATGGATGCACGTTCATTAAAAGAAAATGTAATAAATATCCGCGTGCAATGTGTAATTTTAAATAAGTTCAAATGTATCAAGATCAACAAAACACATAATGTCGAAACATTGTTTAGAGTGCTAAAAGTTCAGCACTGCAATGTGTACACCTATTATTTTTACGCTTGTATTTTTATTGAAGGCTATTTAAAGAAAAAAATATTTTAATTTATTATCACCCTAACTAATATAAGTAGTAATTACATTAAAAATAATTTAAACGATTAAATGGCTGCTCGTATTATCAGCACTGCTTCTCAATGCCCACATCATCCCCAGTGACTACACAAACGATAACATTCTTTTTGTTTAATATTTTTAAATCTGTCGTGACCACACAAGAGACTTAATTTTTCATTGTTTCACTACTTTTAAAATCTGCTATGATCACATAGTAGGCATAATTCTTCCTTGTTTTACTACAATCTGCTATGACCATATATAAAACATGATTCTTCCTTTTTACTACTTTTGACGTCTCTAGTTTAAAAGACAGTTAAAGCCGTTGGCCTTGAGATCACTTCTTCTTCACTGTTAAATGTAAGTTTGTGGATTTATTCCAATAAATCTTATTACTACATGTCATCTGCTGTACGCCATATTGGCTCTAGACTCTGACTTTAGCTACTTTTCTTTTTGGATTTGCTTCCATAATTTTTGTCCACCCACAAACATTCTGTTATGCAACAGTTGTTTGATTTTGGTGAGTTTCATTCTATATGAGTTGCTGTCCCCTTACTACCGAGCCTTATCTACCGTGTGGTCAGATATTGGTTCTTTTAGAGTTAGCAATCACAGGTTCTCCTGGCCCATCACGCAATCCCTCTTGACCTCACTTGAAGCAACACATTTCAAAACGTTACTCGGAGGTATGGTATGGGTATTCGTCTAGTCTGATGTGAAAAATTGTATCTCGAAAAAATATGTCAGAAACTGATTGCAAAAACGAAATATCTCAATATTGCAAGGACGAAATAGATAATACAAAATAGTAGAAGAACAAAATTTCAGAAAACATTTATTGAATAATATATGTCACAATAGAAAACATATCTTTATCATCGTATTTTATCTCTAGTTAAATATAGTCAGGATAGTTTAGTGCTAAACAATCTAACCAAATTTAACTCTTAGAGACAATTTATTTACATTTTCCAAAATATATTAGTGTTGTTACGTTCGGGTTAGTCTCTGACAAACAACAACGCTTCGTGTCTAACTTCTATACTTTTATTCTGTCTCCAATGTGTACATTTTAGCGTAGCCTTCGTCCTCCCCGCTATCAACTAACCCGCTGACTGACCCCCTACAATCGTTCACTCGCCCTTTTATACCCGCATTCAACCTTGGGATTACAATACATAAACATACAAGGGTAACTACACAGTAGGGTGAACTCCACTCACACACGCACTCTCCCCTAGTTCTAGACTATTCTGACCTATTCTAATCTGACCTACAGCTGACCCGTAACAAGTGTTAATTTTTTTAGTGCAATTGACTATGATAGCAGCATTTCGTGCTGTATTGTTAATTAAGTCTCTAGCAAGATATCTAAACAATTTTTCTCTTAATAAAATTATCTTCTTCTAAACAAAAATAATCAATTCATAATTAGTGAAAGATTTTCATTTTCAATACAGAACTGTTAAACTGGATACACTGTTTTGTACATTTAAAACGTAAATGATTAACTGATTTGTTTAATCATGAATGATAAAATGGAGAATTCTTCCTTCTATAAACAACATCTGTCAAATATTTTATAGATTTTCTTGGTCATTTTAGAAAGACTGAAAAAAATGAAAACTCAAACTTACCAGTATCGAGAATTATAACAAAAAAACGTCGTATTATGTTTGTCATTTTAAATTATGTTGTTGTTTTTGTTTCTTGCGTAGACACAAAAGTTTCCTGAACTTGTTTCTGTAGCTAGAGCTCATTTTAAAATAGAGAATAAAATTCACGTTAGAGTTGATGGCATGGAGCAAGAAGGCGAACGACCAATACGCTTTGAAGTATTTGTCGTATTTCCCGGAAAAACTGAACCCAGGGAAAATAGCAGAGAAAATGGACAAGATGACCGTTGGTGTGTAGCAAATTATCAACACTGAGGCCACAGAGATGACCAGAGCTACGATCTTTTTGTCCCTAGCGGTCATGGACTCGTTTTGAGCCTGGTCACTTGTTGAACTCTGGCGCCATTTTGACGTCTGCTTTAACTTATAGACCAGAACACAGGTGAAGGTCGTGACCGAAATAAAAACACCGATGGCAAAAGCCGTGAGAAAATAGAAGACCAAGCTCTGAGTAGATGCGCGATTACCTCTAAACGCGAGTCCCAGGATGGTTTTGTTCCTGTCTGGGTAGTACCTCCAGTCGTAGTAGACCGTGGAATATTCTGGAACCAAAGATAGCATGTTGACCAGGAAGATGGACAGCAACACGATGACTGTCCGGCGTGGCGTGACGATCTGTTTGACCTTGAGCGGTGCCGCAATGGACAAGCACCTTTCTGCTGTAATGTAGACCGTGATCCAGCTAGTGATACGTGCAGAAATCCCGTGCGGCCAACCTGCTGTCAGGTACTCAAAATCGCTGAGTACGACCTCAGGTACAAGAGAGTTGATGTAGGTATCGACACAGATATTTCGCCAGAGAAGTGTCAACATGCTGAAGAAATCTGAGATTGATATGGCGAGGAAACTCAACGTGATGGAGCTGTTTAGACCCTGTTTAAAGAAGACGCAAATGTTGAGAGTGTTGACTAAGATGCCCGTAGCCCCAAACGCACTGCAAAGAACGGCGTTGTTTATAATTGTAAACACTTGAATTATCAGGTCTGTTGTTGTGTCTCTTGTTGCCCCAGGAACTGTCAATTTTAGTAAAGTCTGGTTATCGAAGAGAGCTGTTTCAGATACATTACACAACGTCATTTTCAGATTCTCTCGTAAGTTCTTCTTGTTGATTTAATGTAAAATATTAAACTTATAAAGATCCAGTAAAATTGTAGATAAATGTATTAAATCTAACAACATTAGAATTAATCATTTTAAAAATTATCCTAAGGTAAATAACTAGTCTAAAAAATTATGTGACTAAAATATATTTATATTTGATCTTCTGTTTTCTAAAAGCGTATTATATTTTTCTGACCATTTACATATTTTGCTATCTTTAAATAACATGATTTAGTATTGCATTTTGATGATTTCTATAACTCGGTCTTATAATGTGTAAAACACATTTGTTTTCGTATTCCTACAACAACACGTTTTGGTATTTTTTTCAAAGATAGGTTGTTGGGATTCTCTTGTAATTTATACGCCTTCGTCTGTTAACAGCCTTATATTCAATTACTAACCTGTGGTTCCTTTCACATTTCAAAATAATTTTCAACGTGAACGTAACGACATTTCTTTAACAACTCAATTAACTCAACAGCCTAAATTGTAGAATTATTTTTACATATATTTACAATTAACATTATTGCAAAATATACGACTATCATACTTTATTCAAATGAAAATGAAAGGCCATGCACTTTACGTTTGACATTTAAAAATTAGTTAACTTTTATCTTGTGAACAAAGTCATCTCACAAAGGTTCGGGTTTAACAACACTATATATAAGTTTTTTCAGGGAGAACAAAAGATCCTTCTGTTACAATAACAGAATGCTCATTGTAGAATAAATATTTGCAAACAAGAAATGTCTTTCTTATTACTGTATTAAATGGGAAATTCAGAGTTACTTCGTAGATAAGAACTTTTAAGACCTCGTAAAATATCTACAGCCAATGATAATTTATTGGTCGTCAATGAATGCATCGATTTAATGTCTCGTTAACATTCAAAGTCACGTGTTCTTTGTATCCAAGTCATTCATTGGATTGTGCATTCCTGCACGCTTCTTTAAAGATCAATGTAAAACCTAATGTGTATTTAAGTTTAGGTCTATGAAAAGAGGATAAAAAAAATTTAGATACTTGTTTAGATCTTTTATCGGACATTAAGATTTGACAGCTTGCTATAGTTAGAAATCAAAGAGATTCAATGTGTATGGTTGAAGTAAAAAATAAGATTAAAATATAAAAGTGAATATTGCATGCAGTAATGTTTTATCCTATACATGAAACAATTATAAAACTTAAAATCCACTTAAATTTATTTTAGTTCTAGGATAGAACAAATAAAATTACGAAAACATTTGTCTTCTCGTTAAGAAATCATATATAACATTTTCTTCCTTAATAGATCGTTGACTTTTGGACATACATCGTTGTTCGTCTCTGTGATGTATTTTCTAAATTCGTAAGGCTTTATTTATACTCAGCCGATGATTTTAACACTTGATTCTTTTTGTGTTTAAAACGTCGGTAGTCGTTAATGTTGGAGAAACGTTATGAAAGTTAGGAGGAGAAAAAAAATATTTTTAGAGCATCGGACGTTTCTACAACTTTGTACTCTTGATTCTTGATAAAAGCTGTGGGATTTCAATTTCAGTGCTGTCAAATACATTTTAAGTGCTCTTATTTTTACTTTAAAAGTTGTATGATTTACTTTAAGGTGTCATAGGATCTACGCGATTAATATCATTTAAGAAGATATTTATAGATGACATTTCTTTTCTGAGCATTGTCTCAAGCTCATCCTAATACACTGCATCACTCTATTACATTGTGTCAGTCTTATGATATAAAAAAAGGTAATGCTTTCGAAATCTTAATACTGTGTACATACATGTTCGCGGCAAATGTAAAAGATCATATAAAAACACACATGAGAAGATACATGTAGGCTCTATACCAAGTTACTGACAGATAAAAAACACAAACATAATCACAATTAGACGAACAAATGAATACAGAGATTAATAAAATAATAAATAATATCATTAAAACATGCGAACATGTTATTAACAAAAACAAGCAATGTTGGAAAAACGACAGTAAAATATTTATTTGAAATAAAAGAAATGTCTTCTGATTGTTAAAATATTTGAAATTAATAAAGAAAAATAAAACTTTTTTTCAAATTCAAAAAATGTAGACAATTTATATTTAAATGCTAAACTAATTTCAAGAACAAAATTTTACGCACACCGTTTTTAAAAAGTATGGTTATATAGAATCTGGGGCCCACCTGTATCAAATGTTACATCTTGCAACAGGACTTAACAAAATCAATGTTCAGTCTGCATTATTTATTGCTGGTATATAGATCTACCTAATATTGGTAAGTAAGAATTTCATACCTCACAGCTTTTTGCAGGTCCCTTTTATAAAATGCTGGTCTACGTTATAAGCCATGCACTAGTCTTTATATTGAATTAGTGATTTCAACATTTCTATAATGTTGTATAACGTGTGTAATCATTTGAACAAAAATAGTTACTACGAGCCGACCCGCGGCATATCATGCGCCGCTATTTAGTTGGTTTATTTTCTACTTTTCAGTAATTCATAATTTGTGAATTCGACAGCTCCAATGCTGCCACTGAATATATTTGCTTTAAAACACTATCAGTAGCTCGTTAAGGATGATAACCACCCCCCCCCACTTTCCCCAACCCCATACACCCCCCCCCCCCCCCGTGAAAGCAGCCTCCTCTTAAATACCTCCACTAAGTTTAAAATCGTTTGAAACTAAATTATCTGCCCCTAATAGCCGTCACTAAACCCGGCTCTACGATTGTAAACATTTAATGTGAACCAAAGAGCTCACCAGACCATGTGGAGTGGGGGTGGTAGGGAGTGCGCTTACAGCTTGGTGTTTTCTAGGGTCTCCAAGAAGAGAATTATATATATAGAATATATTGAATAAAATAAGTCATTAGAAAATTGTATACAAAATGGCTCAATCCATATATTTAGCAATAGCCTACCATTCTTTCAACACACCCTTCGTTTATCAAGCCTCCTCAAACATGATGTCTTTAATTTATACTTCACTTCCATCCGGGAGTGACCTAATTCAGAATCGTACGTACGCTTGTATTGACAGTGTTTGTGTAACTCTGACTCAGTGGGGATGCTTTTACCCACTGAGGTGTTGTGGTTAAACGGACTGACCCTGAGATTTAGGACACACTGAAGCGACGCTGTTGTCCACTAATTGACTTTATTCAACAGTACATCGAGCCATAAACGGCGATGTAGAACAACAGTAGTAAACGATGATTTGAGATGAATATGAATAATGAAAAATGAAAACTGTAGCCCTTCATTAGGTCTACATTATCATGATCTACCTCTAGGTACCGTCACCCTCCGTGTCCACAGACAACAGCCTTGGGTCTGACTGACACGGCTAGGCACGAGACTACCCATAGACCCATGTCACATGAAATGGGACACAGGTAAAATCGCTCACAGAAGAGCATGCAAAAAAACTACATCAACAGGGCTACGATCACACAGGGGCCGCAACCCAATGAATTACAACTCTATTCTTATCCCCCCCCCCCTTCCTTGGCTGGTATCCATATGTGTGCATTTGCTTCAAATAAACATATTTAAAATACATAATATAGAAACACGACACGGGGGAAACGCAACACAGAAATCTTAATACAATTAAAATGTAATACAGCAAAACCAAGAACATTTCAACAAAATTATGAAACAACTCAATTCATTAAAACACAACACAACGAGAAAAAAAAACATGATACAAAATCTAGGCAGCCAAAGCACCTTATAACAAAAAACACAAATGAATAAAACTCAACATGGCAAAACCAAATCACAGCATAACACCGTCTGATTGAGTGCTATCTATAACATTGATTCAGAAGGTAAATGCGCATTTTACACACCTATTTAAAAAAGTTCACATGGAGCAGATCAAGCAGAGTTCACCTGTTTAGGGGACCTACTCCACCACCCACCCCCCCCCCTCCTCCAACTTGTTTAGTTGATCAGAATTGACTCTTCTCTATCACGTGCGACATAACACAATATCTTCCTCTGATTAAAGAAAAAAGAAAGTAAACTGACGGAGTAAAATAACGCATTATATAGAATCTGATATCTATTTTAAATTCATAAACAATAATATTTTTTTTGCCACGAACATTCCCAGTTTGTGCTAACGACGTGCATAATTACATTTTGAACCTAGCGGTCCATGGGAAAGGTAAAGTATAGTTCCCATCTTTCGGTGACTTTATATGTCAAGATATAGTACTGCCAGCACTATGTGAAAACGATGTGTGCCTAGTACAAAACGTTTGTTCGGTGCTTTAGATTTTCATTAGTAACATTAATACTGCACACGGTTTTATTAAAATAGAGATCATGTAACAACAGTTGTATTATGCAACGAACGAACTCGTGTCAGTGTTTCTGACATAGATCATGTGTCAGTGTTTGAGTCTTAGGGGGTATGTCATTGTTTATGTTATAGTACAAGTGTCAGTGTTTCTGTCATAAAACGTGTGTCAGTATTTTGTAATAAGAGGTATTTAAGTGTTTCTGACATACAACGCGTGGCAGTGTTAATATCATATAATGTCTGATAGTATTTCTGTAACAGAAAGTGGTTCTGTATTTTCTATTATAGAATGTATGTCAATGTTTATGTCATGGAGCTTATCTCAGGGTTTCTGTCATAGGAGGCATGTCAGTGTTTCTGTAAGTAAACCTGTATTCCGGTTTCTATCATAGAACGTGTATCTTTGTTTCAATAGTTCAACGCAATTTGTCAAACGTGTATCAGAGTTTCTGTCATACGTGTGGTTTTCTGTGAGTCACATGAGGTATGTCAGTGATTCTGTTAAAGAAAGATTGTCAGTGTTTCTGTCAGTAAACCTGTATTCCGGTTTATATCATAGAACGTGTATCTATGTTTCTACAGTTTTGTCAAACGTGTATTACACTTTCTGTCATACGTGTGGCTTTGTGAAAGTCACATGCGGTATGCCAGTGATTCC